TACCCATGGTAATTCTTATTCTGTTCTCAAAAATTCCTAAACATTCAAGAAAATGTTGCTTAATAACTATGTTTATTTCCATGAAAGTAATCTCCAGAGAGCTATCATATTCTTTTTGTAAATACTGTACCCATGGTAACTCTTATATTCTCAAATATACTTTTGCATTCAAGAAAATGTTATTTAATGGTAACTTTTATTCTTCAATATGCAATCTCCAGGGAGCTATCAGCCTCCTTTTTGGAATAAAATTTTGGTCACTGTTTATAAGGAAGAGGAAATTAATAAACAAAAATCATTTCATCATTGAGACTTTGAGATTCGAATCTTTCCATAGTTGAAAATAACTCCAAGTAAAAAAGCTACCTAAAATAATTTGTTTTGGCCTTTACAGGGGTTTATGCTACTGTACTTTATTTTGAAAATTATTATTATATAACTAATTTTTATTTCCTTGTTATCTAAAAAGATACTACTGACATAACTCAAGTAATAGTACAAAGGAGAGGAGGAAAGAATGAAAAATCCAATCTAAGACACATTGAGATTTATCATTGAGAAACAAGATTATTTGCAATTACCATGCTAATTTTACTATTACTTGTGTTTTCATAATAAATCAAACACACAATTCTCTTTATAAAATTTACATACAATAAAAATTTTTGACAAAGATCCATGTTATTTTTATCTTGCAAATATTATACAATATATGATTTTCTGTAATTAGTTATCTGAAAAATAATAGGGCCATTTTGTAATTCAACTCTATGCACCTATTCACATATCCTTCACACAAAGTTCAGCAGTTATAAAATTATTATTTATTCTATATTAACAACTATATTATCTTTCTGTCATTTCCATGTTTCAGTAAATATTAAAGTGGAATATACAGTTAAATATTTCCATATGTTATATTATTTATATTATTAATCACTGCAAAACTTCGTGTTTTCAAAAAAGTACTTTGGATTGAACATTAGATAAACTAATTCACAAGTGCCTTTTTGTACATCTTTTTATCTGACTTAATTTTTCATATATATATATAAATTCTCTGCTTATATATCCTATCAGATACCATTGAAAACGTGGGAGTCAATAATTTGACATTATTGTTTTGTCTATGTGATTTTACCTATAGATAGACATACATTGTAGTCAAATAAGTAGAGACCATTTAAAAAGATAGTTATATTCTGAGCCATAAAATGAGTGTCATAAATGTAAAAGGAATCTAATCATACAAAATGTATCTCCTGTTTAAAGTGTATGAAATTATGTCAATAACAGAAAAATATCTGAGAAATCCAGAACTATTTGAAAGCTAAATAAAAAACTTCATCCTCATAAATATTTCAAAGAACAAAGAAAAGCATTTTTAACAGGGTGAAAATACAGGCACCACACATTGAAACTCATGGCACTAATGCAGTAATTAAAAGGAAATTTTAACCACTAAAAGTGTATACTGGAAAAGAAAAAGACTTTCAGCTCTCTGTTCTCTGCTTAAAAAAAAAAAGAAAGAAATTAAAAGAAAAAATTGAATTCAAATTAGAGAAAAAGCATAAAAACAAGGGCAGAAATGAGTGAAATAAACAAATAATAAAAACAATAGAGAAAGTCAACATAACTAAAAGCAGTACTATGAAACAATTTATAGATATAATAAATTTCTAGCTAGGTCAAACTACAAAAGAACAAAAGAAGGCACAAATTGCCAATATTAGGAACAAGAGAACCACCAGTACAAATTCCACAAGCTATTTTCAAAGGATAGTAAAAAAGTGGGTTTTTTTCCTTTCTGAGACAGAATCTCACTATGTAGTTCAGACTGTCCTTGAACTCACGATGTGACCCAGGCTGGCCTTAAATTCCTGGTGATCTTCTGCCTCAGCCTCTGGAGTACTGGGATTGTAGTTGTGCGCCATTGTGCCTGGCAGTAAATAAAGCTGAATAACTTTATGGGAGTAAACCTAACTCTAATGAAAGTGGACAAATTTCTTGAAAGACACAAATTCCAAATCTCATTCAATTGATAAAAGTTTCTTTAAATAGACTGAAAAACACTGTATCTTTTAAATTGAATTTGTTTTTCCATCTTTCTCACAACGGAAACTCTAGGCTTCAGATAACTCTGTGCTTAAATTTTTATAAAAATTTAAAGAATAAATAGTACCTAAACAAAACTTTTCAGAGAATTTAAGATAAGTAAATTCTTGTAAATATATTGTATAGAGGAAATATTACCTCAACTCAAAATCAGACAAAGACATGATAAACTATGGAAACTACAAAGTAATGTATTTCATGGATATACGTTTAATAATTCTTGACAAAAACATAACAAGTAACCCAGTAGAATATACGTAAAAATATAAGTCAGCCTAAACATTTGAGGGTCTGTCTCGGGAACTGAAGATCAGTGTTATACTCAAAAAATGATGAGTATAAAAAAACCATGTCAACAAACTGAAAAGGGAAATATATTATCACTAAAATAGACACATAAAAAGTATTTAATGTAATCCCAAGTCTACAGCTGGTAAAACTCTCAGAAAACTTAAAGAGAACACAATTTCTTAAACTTGATACAGAATATCTATGAAAGACTAATAGCCGATTTTATAGGGCATAGATTCAAATTAATTTTAAATACAATCATAGTAAAATATTTTGCAAACATATTCTAAGTTATCCAAAATGGAAAGAACATAGAATAACCAAAATGATTTTAAAAATAACAACTTGATATCAAGACTTTATATACATTTATAATTCCAAATCTTTCAGTCGTTGCTTAATGATAGAAAAATAGGTACTGGTTAATGATGATTCAGTGGAAGAAATGATTATTAAGTTCAAATATAGAATTACATAGAGGGATGGCTAATTTTTGTCAAAGATGCACAGGTAATTCAATGGAGAAATAGTGCTTTCTTCAGCCAATAGTACTAAAAAATTGGATGTATGTATACAAAATAAAATATACAGTACTAAATTTAACTTAAATTAAGTTGGATTATAAACCGAAATATAAAACTAAAAAATACAGAAGTTATGGAAGAAAAAGTAAGAAAATCTTTGTGATGATGGAGTAGGCAACCATTACTGTGAGAGAACATCAAAATCATGAAACCAAATAAATTGATAAATTGAACTTCATTCAACGTTATGAGTGATATTGTTTAGTGAATGAGAAGAAGATAAAATTTGGGAAAAGATATCTCAAAAAAGGTATCTCAAAACCATTTATAGTAAAGAAATATATCCATAATGTATGAATAATAATTATTATTTGGGGAGGTATTTTTGAGACAAATTCTTACTATGTAATTCAGCCTGGCCTTGCACTCACGATGTAGCCAAGGCTGGCCTAGAACTCACTGCAATCCTTCTGCCTCAGCCTCTTTAGCACTGGAATTACAGGTGTGCAGCATTACACCTGGCCTCATAACATGTAATACAAACACCAAAAATGGGGAAAATATTTGAACAGGCAGTTTATTACAGAAGACATATTGATAAAAAATACACGAAAGATACTTAGCATCATTAATCATTAAAGAAGTTCAAATTCTAACTGCAGCATGACAGCACTACACTACTTAAATTAAGAAAGACTGCCTATATAAAATGTGGCAAGAACTGGAATTCTCTCATGCTGTGGGAATATAAAATGGTACATCCATTTGGAAAACAGTTTGGCAGTTTCTTAAAAAGGTTAGTGTACATCTGTCATATGATATATCCATTCGATTCAACTATTTATGAATAGAAATGGAAACGTGTCCATATAAAGGGTTATATGTGAATGTTGCTATCAGCCTTATTTGTAATAGACAAAATCAGGAAACAATCTCAACATCCATCAACAGATGAAAACACACATAAAAGGTTCTATATTCATAAAATAGAATACTATTTTTTAAAAAAAGTAAAAAACCTGAAAAAAAGGTAAAAAACCTGAAAAAAAATAGAATACTATTCTGCAACAAAATAAATGAGGTATGAACACACAAATGGGGATATATTTCAAATTAATTATAATAAATGAATTAAGACAACAGAGATGCACAACGTATGATTTATATTTGTAGTCAGAGCTAGAAGACACAGGCTCGTCTTTAATGAACAAAAAGAAAACTGTGTAGGGATAGAACAGTTATAGCTAGGATGACAAAGGTGAGATTGCAGACATGAAAAACCTTCTAAGTGTAATGTATATATTTATTATTTTAATTGTGGTCATGGTTTAATGCATATATGTATATGCTGAAACTTACACACTTATAGAAGTATATTTATTTATGGCTATTATGTGTAAATAAATATTTATAAAACTTTTCAATGCAAAAATCTCCCTTGAGTAAGAAACATTATATGGTAATGTGAAAAAGAAAGAAAAATGTCTTATCAAATGTATGATGACCAGTGATTTTTTTCTTTCTAAATTTACTGTGCTTATATAATTTCATATATATCAGTTAATTTATTATTTTTAGCAAGCTATAATCTGTTCCTTGCAATTTTCATAATTTATTATCTCTAGCATGTTTTTAATTTGTCTTCAAATTTCTTTATCTCAAGGTCTAGTTTCTCTCCATTTTTTATTATTTTTTAAATTAAATGTGTATTTTCATTACAGTTTTCTTCAGTGCGATGAATTTTTAGAGGATTTGTTTCTATTCTCTGGAAATTTTATTTTTATTTGTGCTTTGCATGCTTTATTTTCTCCCTCAATCTTTTTTCACTGTTTAACCTTTGTTTTTCTGTTTCCCAGAATCATATTTATGTAAGTGTGTGGATACTAACATCTATTTTTCTGATATTGTGGAAAGCAAATTGTTTGATCCTATTTTTTCTTTTCTGAGATCTGTCTTCCCATCTGAGTTAGATTTGAGAGTGTCTTTTTTTCAGGAAAGTATGTAACAGGAGGGAGGGGCTTGTTGATTACATAAAGACTAAGAGGAATTGTGCTTAATTTTTATTTTCAGATTTTCAACTTCCTGTATCATGCTTCATTTCACCTGTTGTGGCTAGCGGTTGGGGTGAGTGGTGATGCAGTGTTTTGTAATGTCCACTAAGCTCTAAGATTAGAATCATTGTTTAATTCAACTTGGTACTTTGTATCATATGCTTTAGTCAGAGACAAACATTCTCAGTAGTCACATGTTTAAAAGCCTTGTTTATTTCTAAGTAGTCAGGAAGGGTAATTTTTGCAAATTAATGCAAAGTCTAAGGATCATTTAGACTCAGTTTTATGACTTTGGGGAAAAGAGGGAGAGTTGAGTAATGTTATGTATAATCTTTGTTATCTTCTTGTTTTGAGTGTATGGCAACAAATGTATATATTTTTATTTTTAGTAGTATGTATTGTGGATATTTGGGTTTTTATTGGGGGAAACATTTTATTAGGCACAACTTCATCATCTCCATCTATAACTGTAAATTGTGGAGATAAATTCTAAAGACAAATATTTTTGCATTATTTAATTATCTCAGGGAATCTACTAATATAACAATTTCTTTTAAAAACTGTAATTTGCATACACAAAATGATTTGTTCTTTAACCTAAAAGAGCAAATCTTTACCACTGTGCTGGGTGATTTGATTTATCAAATGAAATTAATATTCTAAATCCTTAAGAGTTAAGATAGCATTAATGCAAACACAATACTATCTTCACTTAGCTATCACTGTTTAATTTTTTGTTGTTTGCTGGTGTGCTTAACTGAAGAAGTGATTGAAGCCATGTTCTTTTAGACAGCCATTGGCAGAGTGAAGTATTTGATAAACAGTGAAAGTGGTAAGAGAAGGCCATGACCAGAGATTAAGTCCCAAGGAAGGTAGCTGACGCAAGTCTTTTTATTTGATTGCTTCAGCCCACAATAGCACACATTCTGTATACTGAAATCACAATGTATGCCTCTTTAACTGTTTTAAGAGTTGTAAAGCATGAAAAAATAGTTAGATATTTTCCACTGAAAGTGAATAATTGACTCTATTCAGAAACACTATTCAGATATGTCTTAAAGCTATAAGAGATTTAAAAAAAAATTCTTTTGTTTTTGTAATTGACAGTAATATGCTTTTGCAAATATAAAATCTGGTGAATATAATTAATTAATGTGATAAGTTTGCTATATAATGACTTTAATAAAACTTTTGTTATAGTCTTAAAAGTTATGCAAATCAATTATTAGCTTATTATCATAGGGTAATTAAATTTTGGACAATGAGTTTTTAAAATTTTTATTTCATGAGAGTTCTACTTGTCTCAGTGCTGAGGAATGAATGCCTTTTCTCGCTCTGGGAAATTTGGTGTTGGAACTACTTGATTCTTTTGAGAATACCTTATGTGCATGTTGATTCCAAGTTAGGATTAAGAGCAATTATTTTGAAACCTTGTTTGGAAGACTCTTTGTAGGTGTATTTATTACAGATCTGGAGGCTAGGAAGTCCACAATCAAGTGTCTACAGATGGAATATACAGTGACAGCCTGCTTTTTGGTTTGCAGGTGATGATCTCTTCATTTCATCCTCACATGGCACTGAGCAGAGAGAAGGGAAATCAGCTTCCTTATGTCTCTTCTTCTGGTTTTGTCTCATACAAAATGTATTTCAGCATCATCCTATAAATACTTCCCAAAAGCCTCATCTCCAAAAACTATTACATCAAGGATTTGGATTCAACACTGGAATTTTGAGGGGCACAAATATTCAATTTTTGCAAGGCTCAGAGCTCTTCCTCCAGGCACCCTTCTCCATCTAATGTTCTCATGGTTAGTGGTAATTTAAGGTCCTTCCCTTAAAGCATTTTTTCCTTTACACTCAGGATGTAAATTAGACTTCTATAAATAAACTACTTGGTGTTGGATTTAGGATTTATTATGACATTTATACAAATATCCTATGAGGCCTATGTAGGTATCTTGACTTTCGGGTATGAATTTTCAAATGAAGTGTTTCCACACAAAAATGCAGACTTCCTGAAAAGAACTTTTCCTGATTCATTCACTACTTTATTCTGCATGTTGAATTACCTGTCTAATAGTAAAGATTTAATAATTATTGAAAGAATTAATGAGGGAATAAGGCTCATTAAAGTTCAATAATTTCTGCAAAATTTCACAGTTAATATGTAGAATATAAATTTCATCCGGAGCATACATTTAGACCCTGTGTATTCTGTGATTAACGTTCATAATAATAATCAAATAAAGAGCAGGAAACAACAAAATTACAAAGAATAAAATGTTTTATGGATGAGACACTGGAAAAAGAAATGAATTATTTGAAAGATGTATTGAAAGGAC